ATTATTCCAAAGCATACCACAGTATATTTGAAACTTACCGTCCAGTGATAATAGCAAGCTATGGAATCTTTGAAACCGTCAAGCTAAATTGATTCATTACACGTGCGCTACGCAGCGGCAAAGCCTTCTTTGATTAGCAACGTGCTCAAAACGAGTACTAGAAAGAGAACACAATACGCAGTCACTTCAGTCCGTCCTGCTATTTAAAAAGGAAAACATCGCACATGTTCGTTACTTGAAAGATTGGGAACAAAAAAATGTTTTTTTCAAATTTTCTAAGTGATACTTGAAAGCACTATATGTGAATGAATCCTAGAAAGATAATCACGATGGCTGGCGGTAAGCTACTGGAATTCCTTAATAAACTGTTATATTAAAAGAAAAACAAAAAAACAACAGTTGTGAAAATCGCTAACTGTGATCTGGCAGAACAGCTTATAAAGAATGGTTCCTCAGCAGCTCTATTCCAGTTTGTGGTTAACAGGTTCCAAGACAGGAAAATCAATACATCAGAATTGAAAAAGAAAATTCGCATGTTCGCACTTAAATTTGCAAGATTGTGGACAAAGAGCTGTCGAAACAGAAAACGGTTCTTTGAGCATAACAAGGTTTGGTTGAGTAGGTGTGAAACTGTAAGCGAATTAGCAGAACCGAAAGCTGAAAAAGGACGACCACGTAAATCTTTCGAGACCTCAAGTACGAGATCAAAGCTTAGAAAAGTGCTCGATATCAGCGTAGAAGTTCCTTATGCGGAGTTAATGTTTGCAGCGGCAACCAGTGCAACAAATTCTGGCCTTCGAGACGCAGGAAAGATCATCAAAAATCTATCGGAGTTTCCGGAAAACGCAGGTAGTGTAAAGCAGTCCATGAATGTGGTCAGTGATGTGGAAGAATATTCACGAACTGAAGCTTTGGCGTTTATTTGTAAGAACGGATTTTCTAAAAGTCAATACAAAGACATCCGTGCATCGAGCCTGCAGAAAGGATGTAATTTATATCCTTCCTACCAAAGGGTTTTGGAGGAAAAAATACTTACGTATCCAACAGGTGCTTTGTGTTTGAGTTATGTTTAGTACAATAATTAATGTATTGTGTTTGAATTACAGGTATAACGATAAAGCCATCGGCAGCTGAAGTTTCGCTGCAAGCTTTAGTAGATCCACTAATGTGCGTCTGTTCGAAAGCCAAAAGAGCATTCTAACTGGTTTATCGTTGGATGAATACGAGATCAAGTATAAATGGGGATGTGACGGCAGCAGTAACCATTCTCGTTATAAACAGAATTTCGTTGATGAAAATGAGGACGGTGAATTAGTTGACTACAATGATTCACACATATTTTCTATTGCTCTGGTTCCTCTTCAGATTTCCGCAAAGATCTCAGAACATGAACATAAGGTTTTCTGGAACAATGATTTGCCATCGTCTGTCTCCCTATGCAGGCCAATCAAGCTTATTTTTTCTAAAGAAACTTCTCAGCTTACGCAAACAGAAGTTAAGAAAGTACGGCAGCAGATACAAAATCTGAAACCGACAGAAATGTCTCACGATGGTCGAAAAATCACCATATTTCAACCTTGATATTAAGTATGATGGATACCAAGGTAGTAAATGACCTAACAGGGACAAATTCGCAATCTTGCTCTTTTTGTGGTAAGAGTGGAAGGAAACTTAATGACGCTGCAGACAATCATGTTCCAGATGATCCCAAAATGTTTTGCCGTGGATTTGCTCCTCTCCATTGCTCCATAAGGACGATGGAGGTGTTCTTAAAGATTTCCTATCGATCGTAGATGGACAAGCCAACGTGGCGAGTGGCAAAATCGAATGAAAGTGTTCGTCAGCGAGAAATCACAATACGGAGTGAGTTAAAACGGAATCTTGGGCTCAGGATAAGTGAACCATTACCAAGCGGAGGTAACAGCAATGACGGGAACACTGCACGTAAATTTTTCAGAGAGTGGCGTACAGTATGTGAAATAACTGGACTGAACAAGGAGTTGCTTGAAAGAATCTACACTATTCTTGTCGTAATCAACAGTAAGCGCGAAATAAACGGTGAAGCATTTCGTCCCTATCTAGAATCAACTAGACTACTCTACGTCAGCGAGTATGGGTGGTATCCCCTCTCTCCAACACTGCACAAAATTCTGGTCCACGGTAGTGCGATTGTCAAACACTCTATTGTTCCAGTTGGGATGTTGAGTGAAGAAGCCTTGGAGACACACAACAAATCCATCAGGAAATTCCGTGAGTTCCATTCTCGCAAATTCAGCCGAAGTGCCAACATCGAAGATGTATTTAATCGATTGTTACTTACATCTGATCCGGTTATATCGCTGATGAACAGAAACAGGAATAACCAAACTGAGGAATCTCTACCCGAAGAAGCTCTTAAACTTTTAATTGTCAACTATTGATACTTGTCAAACTTACTGGGTATTTAAACAATAAATATTATTAAATTTATCTTTGCACTCTGTTTTTAATATTTATGAATCACGAACTTCAGGGAAAATAAACCATTGTAATATTTAATAAGGTTTGTAACATAGTCCCAGTAGGCCATGTTTGATGTTTTATAATATAAGCTAGGGTAAACCGTATAATAAAGGTTATCTTTAATTATCTCTTCATACATTGATTTCTCGCAAAAATTTTGTTCTAAACGCTTTTAGAACTTTTGATGGTGCATATTTTTGCCGAAGTAATCAAAATACTATCTCCTTCATTTGAAGAGTTATGGCAGTTTTTTGCATAAAAATATGAATTTAAAAAAATTAAATTTAATGTTTTAAACAAAAATCGCTCTCGCAGTTTTCCCACCACAAATGAATAAAAAAACGATCTTTCGAATGGAACTAAAAGTTTGAAAATCGGTTTGCTCCTTTTAGAGATATTGACCATTGAAAAGTGTCATTTTTTGAAGAAAATCGCCTTTAACTTTCCAATAAAAAAAGATAGCAAATTGGTTGGGTCAGCAAAAATATTTGCCATTAAAAGTTCTAAAAGTGTCTAGAACATTATTTTTACGAGAAACGAACGTATGAAAAAATATTCATAGATAACCAATTTTTCAGGGGCCACCCTAACCTGCTTGTTTGAAAAAATCATAACTCATGAACCATAAGAGATGGAAATTTGGTGTCTTCTGCAAAGTTGCTGCAAATTGATTGTTTGGCAACTTTGTAGCAAACTACATTGGTCTATCTCAAACAATAAAAAAGTTTGCATTTTCAATTCACCAATTTTATGGACCACCCTAATTTCACTAACATGAAAAGATTGGTCAAAAAATATGAAGAAACTTTCCCGAAGACACCATATGCCTAAAATCAACGGCGCAAACATTTGTGTCTTCCTAAATACGGCTTTGGGACCATTGTGCAATGTTGTTTACAAAGATGGGCTTTTGTATACAATATTTGCTACATTGCATGAAATGTGCCAGAACTTTACATGATATATAATGTAAAATTATATGATATATGACGCTCCATTTATGTGCATCATATTGAACAGAAATTTATACTACTTTTCGAACTGTGTAGAGGAAATATACCATCACCCTATCGATGCTGCTTCAGAGTGGCCAGAAAACGATCCTCAGGATATCTGGATACATCGCGACAGCAAAAATCGAAGAAAGGAGGAGCGCATACTGAATTACAAAGAGACTTTGAATTATTCCTTCAAAAGGTGCACAGCAAAATATAAGGAATTTTACATGAAATGTAAACCAAAATCGCTGAAAACTTTGTTTGAATTTAATTTTACATTAAAAATCATGCACAGTAAAAGAGCTTGATAAAACTCATAAAATTACACGTTTATTTGATTAATTTTCTCTTGCAGTTTATTATTCTCCACGCGATGTTAAAACTTATCGAAGAACATCGAATTTTCAACCCATAAATTTACTTGCTCGTGTAAATTTAAATCAACAAATATGGAGAAAGCTAATATGGCGGACGGATCGTTTTCAAGTCGTGTAAATTTAAAAACCAATTTAATTTTACATCAATATGCATGCTTTTTTATGTGCATGGAAATTCGTATAAATTTAAAACATAATTCTAACTGTATGCAATCAATCGAAGCAAATCAAAATCTTCCGCATACAACAAGTTGTAAGAGTTGCACTCGGTCCAACCATTTAAGAAAGTGTAATTTTCGCAATTTTCAGGTGTTTCAGCGTCACAGCTTGCAAAAACCGTATTATGTTTGGCATAAATTGTGAAGGAGAAAACTTAAGACAAAGAACCGTCAAGTCAGATTACTTATGCTATTTTCTATACGGAAAACTCATCACAATGTCGATATCATCAAAAATATGGTACATTATTTCCATTTAATTGATATTGATATTCAATAAACTGGGTGATTTATGGGATCGTTACCCTACTAGTTGAATGGCTTTTGAAGAAACCATGTTGCATATTAGCAATCCTGTCTTTGATTTTATGAGAAAAAAAACATTTACGATTGGCTAAAAATCTTAGGAATACAAGAGATAATGGCAATCGCACGGTAATTACGTATTTCAGATTTTTTTCCAGTTAAAAAAATTGGCACTAAGTAAGAACTTTTCCATGTTTTGAGGAAGCTCTCAGATTCCAGCGACTTGTTAAAAAGCCAAAATAGTGGGGCCGTAAGTTATATTGCCTAGCTTTTCATAAATACTAGTGGAATCCCGTTAGGTTCTGAACCTTTGGAGATGTCTAAATTTCATAATGCCACGGAATGGTGAACGCACCAAACGTATCAGAGATTAGAATACCCACACGACACAATGTATGACGTGACACATTTTTCCACCACTCGATGGATTATTTTTAAACACGCGGCAGATTATCTTCAACCCGCTCCTACATTCACACTCGTAGCACACACTCACACATTCATGGGACTCCAATTAGGTTAAATGATCATCAATTAACTGCGTCGTCCAAAATGGGAAGAAAATGTATCGAACTAGATCGTCGCTCCCACGCACTTACCTGAAGGTACTTTCCGCCAAGTCACGAAGGTAATCCGTAAGCAATGGTTAAGGGATAAAAGTCTGACCGATCACTTCCTTTTGCAACGGTTTATGGAGCACTGTGGTACTCTGAAATTAAAAAAAAAACCGAAACTTATCGTTAGTATAAATCCTGTATTCACCTTCATTTCTTTCCATAAACAGCCAATCAAATTGGAGAATTAATAGTGAACGCACAACGCACCGGTCCGGAGAAGGAAGAAAATCCAATTGCAGCTAAAGACACACCCACGTTTTCTTTTTTTTCCTGAATGGTTAGAACCTTCCAATAGTGAGCAACGCCGCAAGCTAGTAGAACAAACTAAGTAGCACTGGCGCAGTGATGCGTGCCGTCACCAATGTCAATTGACGTAAGATACTGGTCTAGCACTGAATTTCACTGTAGTGAATCGATGGATCATATAGCACACCAGCCGAACCAATCACACACTTCAAGCATTCGCATCAATATTCATTATAAGACTGCCTCATTCATACACAAGACTAAACACTCGGGCCATGCCACGGTTCGTTCACACATGTAAATTTTGACGGAGGACTACGCCTTTAATTTCTATACTGGTGGTCACATTGACAAAGAAACAAAATTTAGACATGTAACGAAAAATCCCAAACACGATAGAGCGCAAATCTAACGAACGACACATTGCGCATGCTCAGTGTTGCCACATTATTTCGTTTTCAATCTGTATTTTCGACGTGAAAAATCTTTTAAGCTGACAAAAATCTGTAAAATAATCTTTCTAAATTCTGTAGTTGCGTCGTAAATATACTTTGAGTTCATTTGAAGTTCAGAAATAGTTTGTTCATAGTTTAGAATCTTGAAAAATGACTTAAGTTTGCTTTCTAAAGAATTAATCTATTTAAGAGACCTCGAAATCCTGAATCTTGATTTTTCGTAAAACTCGGATATCAAGATAACGGAAATCTTTGTCACCTTTTCATTTGCTTTTTTTACTGATCAATTTAAGAAGATGAAAAATAATTATTGAAATTTGATTAAGTATTAGTTATAAAATGTTATGTTCGATGGTTCATTTTCCCAAATTAATCAAATCAAACCAAATTTAAACTTTATCTAATCATTTGGCGGATTAAAAAGGTATTGAATTCGCTAGCTGTTGCTCGAGCTTAGATACCTAAGTGCACTCAGTATTTTTTGCGATAAACTTTGCGATGGTTTCAGCTGTAGTTATCATATGTTTTAGAACTTTTATTATATTTTCTCACCATGTGAAATGGTAAATTAAACAATAAGAATGAAAAACTAACTTCCCTTCTATCGAGCAATCAGCAATCAGAACACCTGCGCATCAGAAGTCCGTTCAAAATTAACGGAGATAATAAAATAATAAGTGAAAAATTGGTATTTGGTTAGGTGCTCGTACCTACTCAAAAGGACGAAAGGATATCGGTGTATACAGATATCTGTATCAAAATGTTGAGAAAAATCCGTATCATTACAGATAAATCTGTATATGTGGCATCACTGAGACGACGACGAAAGCACCCACATCGACCGGAGGAGAGGCTTCCCGCAATACGAAGAAGTCATCCGGTCGGCATCGAATTGGACTGGTGTGGCCACCATTTGAAAAACAACCGACCCTTTTCAAAAACGAAAAGAGTTAAGAACTAAATGATCAACATTCCATTAGATGAGAAATCCACTCTCTGAAAATTTCAGCTCATTCGGATGTAACACAAGCTAGCGCATTTGATTTAAAATTTATATGGGGATATTGGTTGAAATGAATGAAGAAATAATATTCCTTCACTCTTTCGCGCATAGAATTGGTTCAGCAAACTCGATTTAGCTCAGAATAATATACAAATACAGGCAGCTACGTATCAACTAGATTACAACTAAAAATAAAAGTTCAGGCCAACATCCAGACTCGTGTCAGTAGGTGAGATAAGCACTCTCGCTTTTGGTTTAATGTTCAGATAGGAGATTTGGTTGAAATGTTCATATACAAAATGCTCGTGTACATTCAAATGCGTATATCTCAATAATACTAACTGGATTCATGTTGCAATCTTCAGCAAAGTTGTTACTCATAAACTGAACTACATGTTTTGAAAATCCGAATCAAATCGGTAATAAGGAAACTTTTGTATGATCGAAGGAGCGTAGAAGTGTTGACTTTAAATGATCTTTATTTCTTGTGTTAGTGTGGTTTACATGTATGAATTTTTTCAAGTGACATGCGTCTTTTCAACTTTAGTACAGTGAGATTTTAATTATTATTTACAGTTTCTAGTCCTATCAGGCCTATTTTAAAGTATGACCACCTTGGTGGGATTGGTTTGATTTGGATTGGAAAAAGGAGTCTACTTATAACTACTATTTACAACTACAACTAACCTACAACTACTATATACACCTTTTTATCTAGTTCGTTTATTTGGAAGGCTCAATCGCGTTAGCTTTACGGAGCCGATAATTCATTGTTCACTGTGTGTAACAAAATTCACTTAATTCTATGTCTAGTAGGAGTTGGGCCGATTACTCGCGGCTTACTCGAGGTTAGAAGGGTACATTTTCAAAGGATAGGATCAGGGGAGGAGCTTGGGGTAGGGTTTTGTTGTCTCATCAGAGCGTTGTCGCCAGTATGAACGGTAGTGCTGTTCTGGCTTCGTCCGGAGTTCGACCGGCTATGGTGACCAGTGGGCGACGATGAGACTCATCGAGACGGGGGGACAAGACAAACAAAAACTAATAAAGAGAGACAAAAGACAAAAGGAATTAAATTCTTATACTAGACATTTGAAGAAAAACATAAACGGACTGCATATAGCAGAGATCGCGGGTTGCCAACACGTCTCTGATAGGAACATAGGGTTGTCTTCCTTGGGCCTCGAGGGTATTCAAAAGTCGCTCTCTGGCGGCGTCATTATCCGTACATTGCCAAACTGCGTGTTCGATGTCATCGTAACCGTTTCCACACTGACAGATGTTGCTGTCCACGAGGTTTATTCTATTGAGATGAGCATCTAGCGAGTAGTGGTTGGACATAAGTCTACTCATCACCCGAATGAAGTCACGACTTAAGCCCAAGCCTTTAAACCACGCTCTCGAAGAAACATTAGGAATAATTGAATGTAACCACCGTCCAAGATTTCCAGTGTCCCAATCGGTTTGCCAACTCGAAAGGGTACTCTGACGCACTAAATGGTAAAATTCATCGTGTGAAATTTGCCTGTCATACAATTCGCCTTCATGCGCGCCCACCTTTGCGAGAGAGTCCGCCTTCTCATTGCCTGGGATTGAGCAATGTGAGGGGACCCATACAAAGGTAATCATATATGATCTTTCGACCAGCACACACATCTGCTCCCTTACCTTTGAAAGGAAATAAGATGAGTGCCTACTTGGTTTCATCGACCGAATAGCCTCAATCGAACTGAGACTATCCGTGAAGATGAAGTAATGGTCTGCGGGCATGTTGGAAATCATCCCCAATGCGAAGTTGATTGCTGCCAGCTCAGCAACAAAAACGGAACAAGGTTCCTGAAGTTTGCGGAAGGCGCTAGAGTTTTCATTGAAGACACCGAAGCCAGTGGATCCATTGAGACGGGACCCGTCTGTAAAATATCTTTTCATGCAATTGACTTGTTGGTACTTTTCAGTAAAAATACGCGGAATAATAATAGGTCGAAGTTGATCGGGAATCCCATGAGTTGCTTGTTTCATGGTCAGATCATATTCAATTGAGGAACTGCGATTGGTGAAGTGAACACGGTCTGGAGTATAACAAGGAAGACACATATCTGATGATATGTAGTGGTGGTAGATTCTCATAAATCGAGATTGTGTGTTCAGCCCAAGAATTTCTTCAAAATTAGCAATTATAAGTGTGTTCGTCACTCCGCATTTGATTAGTATTCTGAGAGAGAGCTCCCAGAAACGGTTCTGGAGGGGTGTTACTCCTGCCAGAACCTCGAGACTCATGTTATGCGTTGAGTGCATACAGCCTAGAGCAATACGCAGACAACGATATTGAATTCGTTCCAATTTTATTAGGTGACTTTTTCTTGCCGAGAGAAAGCAGAAAGAGCCGTACTCTAGAACAGAGAGAATAGTTGTTTTATAAAGCGTTATGAGGTCTCCCGGATGAGCACCCCACCATGTGCCGCAAATTGAACGGAGAAAGTTGATCCTCTGCTGACATTTTTGCTTCAAATACGTAATATGGGTATTCCAAGTGCACTTTGAATCAAACCAGACCCCAAGGTACTTGAAAGACAATGATTGGGTAATGTTTCTGCCAAAAAGATTAAGCTGCATTTGGGCTGGGTACCGCTTTCGAGTAAACACTACCAGTTCAGTTTTCTGCGGCGAGAATTCGATCCCTAGATTCATAGCCCAAGAAGACAAGTTATCTAAGGAATTTTGCAATGGTCCTTGCAAGTCCACGGCATGTGGACCTCTTACGGAAACCACACCGTCATCTGCAAGTTGTCTTAGCGTGCATTGTTCTGCCAAACAGTTGTCGATATCTTTGACATAAAAGTTATAAAGAAGAGGGCTGAGACATGAGCCTTGGGGCAGGCCCATGTAACTAATTCTGGAAGTTGTCAGTTGTCCAAGAGAAAAGTTCATTTGCTTTTCTGACAACAAATTGTACAAGAAATTATTTAAAATTCCAGAAAGTCCACATCTGTGCAGATTGTCTGACAGAATTTCAATGGAAACTGAATCAAAAGCCCCCTTAATGTCCAAGAATACTGAAGCCAATTGCTCCTTGTGTGCAAAGGCCAGTTGAATATCTGTGGAAAGCAGCGCTAGACAATCGTTTGTTCTTTTGCTCTTGCGGAACCCAAACTGTGTATTTGATAGCAAATTATTTGTTTCGACCCACTGATCGAGTCTCCGAAGGATCATTTTCTCCAACAATTTCCTAATGCACGAAAGCATAGCAATCGGACGGTATGAGTTATGGTCAGACGCTGATTTGCCAGGTTTTTTAATGGCTATTACTTTGACCTGTCTCCATTCAGGCGGTACAATGTTGTTTTCTAGCAAGGAATTGAATAAATCTAGCAAGCGTCTTTTAGCGATATCTGGGAGATTTTTCAGAAGATTGAATTTAATCATATCGCTTCCCGGTGAGGAGTTGTTCGATGAAAGAAGAGCCATAGAGAAATCCAGCATTGAGAATGGTCTATCCAGAGAGCCGCCGCTAGGAGACGCTTCTCGAAGAATATTTTGTGCTGGAACTGAGTCCGGACAGACCTTTTTAGCGAAATCGAATATCCATCGGTTGGAGTATTCTTCACTCTCATTGAAAGATGAGCGGTTACGCATGTTGCGAGCCACCCTCCACAAGGTGTTCATTGAGGTTTCTCGTGAGAGTCCC